AGCCTCATTGACAGGGAAGACCATTTTCCCACAGAATCATGCTCTCTCCCCATGCAGAACAAACTTTGATGCTAGGAAAAACGATTGTTTTTTTTTTTGCTTCATTTTTCTTTGTCACCATATGCCCTTGCTAGACTTGGTAATTTGAATTTTTTGCATTGTGTCCCTACGGCACATATAGCTGCAGTGGTGGTTTTGCAATATTAGATACACAGCAAGAATCTCCCCTCCCTGCAAAAAGAAAAATAGGACTGAGATATAGTTCAGTGGTAGAGCACTTGCCCAGCATGCTCAAGGCTTTGGGTTTGAACCCTACAACTGTGTGTGTGAGGGGAAATTGCCAAAAATAAATAGCGACTTCAAGAGAAATTTACAAGTAATTCAGCTTTCTCAGAAGAACAAGGAATAATGCCAACTGAGATATTGCTCATTAAAAATGTAAGATAATCCTTTAGAGATGCAGAGTCTACTTTCTTTGAAGCCAAAACTTCTTCTCAAGAAAATGCTTGCATATCTAAAGCACACAAAACTTTCCATGAAACCTGAGAGGCAGTTGCTGAAAGCTATCCATGGAGACCAGCTTTGAGGAGATGCCCTAGAAGGTCTGGAGCTTATAGCAAGCCCAGCATTGTGCCTGCTGGAGCCTGATGGGTCTGTCTTGCAAGTGTGTGCACAGAATGTTTCTTCTACTTTATCAGAGTCCCAGCCCAGCTGAAATTTTAGAAGGTTATGGCTATGTCTGAAGGTAAAAATACCTGGCCACATGTATCATTTCATATTCTACCACATTTTTAGTGACATAACTATAAGTCATATGCTTTCACATGCAAACTTGCATCAGTGGATATAGACTCAGCAGCTCACTGGATATGAACTGTTGGGTCTTTCTTCTACAGCCAGCTCTATCCTGGGCACACCGCACTCACAAGTGTGCATGCCACCAATCTGGTGGCTTCCCAGTGGTTCTTTGAAGTACTTTTGTCTGCATCCTTGTAGAGACAGGCTAATCTTTAACTTAGGGACTGCCACTGGTGAACACTTCTAATCATCAAATATAGGAACAATAATTAACTCAAATCTGGCCTAGGAGCTGAGTACATCCCATGTGCGCTGATTCCCTCTCAGTACTCTGTTTTTCTTGCTTAAAAACAAGCATCCATCAGCGTTGTTTTTGAATGTATAGATTTTGTTTCCAATCTTCTCCTAGTCAGTCTGGTCTCTTGGGCTTCTCAACTTAGAAACTAAATTGGCAAAAAAGTTAACTTGTCACCTCCATCCTTTGGGCCTCAATGAAGCAAATCCTTTACCTTGACACAGTTGTTGAAAGGATTGTGACTCCAGGACTAGACTAAACTCCAAGAAGCCAAACATTACAGTTGGCTCCTCCAATTTCCTCTAAAAACGTAAAGTTGAATCTCTACCACTGAGGCCAGAGGAGCATCATTTTATGTATGTTTCTATGGTTCTAGAAATACAAGAAATTAGGGAGCCACAAAAGTGGGAAGTTGTATAGTCCCAAAAGGATGGGGGTGAAATAGTTACTCTAGCATACATTTTTTTCCATTGATGATTTAACTGAGAGAGAACATATTATTTCCCGGAAAATTGAGAAGGGAGAGTATTGTCTGTTGATTATCTTCAAACATTTGCAAATGGTTTCTCTAAACTTCCCAATGTACCATAAACAAGTATAACCTACAGAAATTCAGAAAATGTACAAATACAAACAGTTATCCCTCAATCTCCCAAGCAAAGACAAAGAAGAGAATATTTCATTTATAAGTGGAATTCTTTGTGGATACCATAGTTTAGGGAATGTTTATACATTGCTTTTCTTATTATTTGGATTTTTTTTCTAGTAACAGAAGCTGCAGAATTGGTATTTTAAATCTTAAAAGTTAAAGATTAAAGGGAAATTTATAAACTTTGAAAATTAACTAAACTTCATTAGTTCTGAATCTGGGTGAAACATCTACCCATTGAAAACATTTGTAGTCATATCACCAAACAAGAATGAATAAGGTCAGGTATCCAGGAACTTCATAAAACGGAAGAAAGGGCTTAGAATTTGCAAAAATCTAACAAATACAACGACTTCTGTGAAGGCAGCTGTAGCTAGGGGTGGCTAATTTCAAGATACAATCAGTTTCGGATCTATTTTAAATGTTTCCTTTTTAAATAATTATCATACAGTATGAAAAAAGTAGACATGGGGAGAGGAATGACAACTACTGACCAATGTTACTGGAAGACTCACCCATGATAAATCCTACAATGAATCACCAGAAAGCACACAATAAATGGCTCAATGGCACCTTACTACCACATCTCAGCCTCCTTTTACTTGCCACCAAAGAATGTTTACCATTAAAGCAAAGCACAAAGGTAATGCAATCCTTATTTAGTGGATGCTTTCTGCTTTCCCCAGCTATATGAATGCCTGGGTTTCTGAAGGCCTAGAAGAAAAATAGCACCACATATGCCCAGAAGAGTAAATGTAGCTCCGGAATCAGGAAGGGTCAGGGTGTGAATGAATTATGGCAGGCTGAGCTGTGCTGTGAGCTGACACGGAACTACTGAGGGCAAGAGGGGGTGTGATGTACTGGGGAAGAGATGGTTCTTCTCCACTCTTAAATCTCTTGCCCTGTCACCTCCCTGTAGCCAGTAGAGCCTGAGTATTTCTGACTTTAGAGAGAAACTGTAATTTCCTGGGGGACCTATCCTAACAAGAGCTCTCCAGTCTCAAGAGAAATCAGGCAATTTTGTCATGGCATCTTCTAAAGTTGGCTGAAGCCAAGTTAATAGTTTTAGTGATGATGCTGGCCCATGTATGAGACCCTTACCTGATTATTTATTCAGAAACAGACCATCTAAGGGGCCATCATGTATCTTAGGCTTTTGTAATCTTACGTTCCCACTAGGCTGCCATAACTACTCTTACTCCAACCGTGGTAGTAAAATCTTTCACCCTTCCATTTTTCCTTTAACACTATTTGAATGAGTGATGCTAGGATATGTTTTGAATGACAATTCCCTATCCTTTCTCACTTGCACAAGGTGGTCACTTTTTTTGGTCACGTACCTTCTCATTACTCAAAGCTTTGTCAACCAGATTAAATTACTCTTGTGAACAAATCAGGGGCATTTTCAACGGAAGTGAGTGTGAGGAGACTAAGGCCATCCGTGTTCAGTCAGCAGAACTTACCAACATGAAATCAAGAAGGATGGTGAACTCATGGTTTAGTATGCTGCCCTCACTGACCAAGCTATCAGAGGAAAAGAAAACCTCCAACAATGGTTCTGACAAACTCTCCTTGCACCACTCACATATCCCACTCAAACATCTGGGGCTGAAATTAGGTATCCATGTAAATGCATCTACTTAAAGACAGGTGCTGGCCCCTGCACACGGCTCCCGGCTTTTATGAAAGCAACGGCTTAGGGCATTAGTGGTGTGCTGCTGTCAGTAAAAACAAAACAACAACAACAAAAGAATTAAAAAGTGAAGAGTTGGGGAAATCGGTGGTAAGGGTTCAATTCAGCTGTGTTTTCTGTGTTTCAAGAACTTTCTCCCAAAGCAAGTGAATTGGATAAAAGCATTTCAGTAATTAAAGTAACCAAGGAACCGATCCATGTATTCTCCTTCAGTAATTTAAAGAAAACGTAACTGGAGTTAGACCACCTGGATTTGAATCACAACTCTGCTTCCTAACCTGGTAATCTGAAAGGTTATGTAATTTGTTAATCAGTGGAATGAAGAAAACTGTTTTATGAATCCAGCTTCAAATACTACTAAAAACCAGAGCCTGCACACACACACATGAGCAATACCTCATCCTACCTCATTTCCCCCAGCCTTCCTTCCTCCCTGTCTTGAGGGCAGCTGCACCAGCCTAATTCTCCTTTGCTCCCACCCAGGAAGGAGCAGTGTACAAGTTAAATGCTAACTAAATGCTCATTTCTCCTCTTCTTCTCTATCTACAATTGACAAACAACTGAATTTTGGCTGTTCACTTGCCCACTTGGGTAGAAGAGAGTTCACTCTCGGGGACCCAGTACTGAACACAGGTTCCCCTATTTGTCAACTCTGACCTGGGCAAAATCTCTAAGATACATCTTTCTCCTTGGTAAGATGTGTTCCCATGCCTGTTCCATATGGTTGGCAAGAGAGGGCAAACGAAGCCACATCTGGCTACAGAGGCACCAATGCTGAAGCTTCTGACTCACTCCCGATAGTTGGATTCCCCCCCCCCCGCCCTTTTCAGGTGCACTAACTGCTTCTTTCCTTCAGTTTCCACGTGTTTGCAGTGAGCATCGCAGCAGTTGAGTCCCCCGAGTCCCCCCAGCCCCACCCCCCAAAGGGGAGAAGGCAAAGATGGCCAGTGAAGCCTGGAGCCTGCCCACGGTTTAGAGCAGAGCTGACAGAAGAGACACTGCGCTCAGGAGCTAAGCGCCAAAGATGGCTGTAGCACCTTGCCAGGCTACAGTGGCTTTGTGACCTGGGTTCAGTTGGCATCTGATGGTTATCAATAAAATTTGGCAAGTTAGGACAGTCTTGTCAATGAGGCTACCCGCTGCAGGCGGGCTCCAGCTCATGGATCCCCTGGGCCTTCCTCCACTGCCTGGTAACCTCACGACTGAACGGCTAGATTTCCCAAATGACCTCGCCTTCCTTCCCACATCCTCCTATTCCCCAGCAGGGTGAATCACAGAGATGTGACCCTAATCATAAAATAAGAGGCATGGAAGACAAAACGTTTCAATTAAGGTTCAGGCGTCCAGGAGCTTTGTCTTCAGGTGAACTTGGGCTCTTAATGAGCTGTAAAAAAAAAACGTGAACGTGGATGATCACACAAGTGTACGGTAAAACACATAAGGGTGTTTTTGTGTTTTCAAATCGTATTCACACCACTCTGGGATCTCCTATTCACACATCTCTGCCTGGAAAGAAGCAAGGCAAGGTGCCCCGGCGGGAGCAGTGCCCCGGCGGACATACAAACCTTTTACTTATTCTGATTTCTAATTCGGAGGCACCTCCTTTTGAGCGGCGGCTCCAGGTCCTCGGGCCCGGCGCTGAGCATGGGCGAGGAGATGATGCACGGCGCCAGGCCAGTCTTCTCCGCGGGTTTTGGCACTGGCTGGATCACGCAGCCGGTCTTGGGCAGCATGCGCAGGGCGTAGGCGTGGTCCTCGTCCGCGGGGTTATTCAGGTTCGGGTCCGATTTGTCGCCCCCCGCCAGGGCCTCCTCCCCGATCAGCTTCTTGGCCGCCTCCCCGTCCAGGTGGCAGTTGGACGCACAGTTGTTCTCCTTGACCGACTCCAGCTCGCTCACGGCCGGCTCCTCGGGCGACAGCAGCTTCCTGGGCGGCCCGGGCGGAGGTGGCGGCGGCGGCGGCGGCGGCG